TCATCAAAATAGCCGATTTTGAGCCAATCCAATGCTTTCCCATATTATTTAACACATCAATGTTTAATATATATTTATTTGCACCATTTTAATAACTATGTTTACATTGGTTCACCTTTCAAATTTATATCCCATAGGGAAAGCATTGGATTGGCTGAAATCGGCACGGGCGTGGCCTAAAGCTGTTTTGGCCAATCAGGACCTCCTCATAGAGATGCATTGAATCAATGGAAAATTCAGCGTCTCCATGCAGAGCGTGGGGACGCTGAACGTCAGTGCTGCTTTTTCAGCCGCACTGACCCAGGAAGCACCTCCAGTGGCCATCACTTGGAGGTGTCCGTAGAGGCAATGTAAACACTGCCTTTTCTTTGAAAAGGCAGTGCTTACATGAAAAAAAGCTTGAAGGGAACTATTTTACTCACCAGAACAGCTATATTAAGCTGTAATTGTTCTGGTGACTATAGTGTCCCTTTAAATATCTGCAAAATTATACACTGACGTTACACTTTGATAGAGGATCTTTAACCCCTTAAGGACACAACTTCTGGAATAAAAGGGAATCATGACGGAATATTTCTGTTATGTGTCATTAAGGGGTTAAATGCATTCTATTAATGATTATTCTCATTGTTTCATAGATTTGCATGTTACAAATTGACCTTATTAATGTTTATCCTCTTTCTGATTGTGCTGTGCATTAATAATGTATCTACTTAAACAATTGTCTTGCTTTTGATTAGTATGGCATGTTATAAATCCATCTTATTAAACATTATGTTAGTTATTCAATAGCACTGTGCGTTATAGATACATCTTATTAAACATTATTTTAGCTATTCGATGGCGCTGTATGTTATAGAACAATCCTCTTCAACATTATTTTAGCTATTCAATAGCGCTGTATGTTATAAAATACTTCTTATTAAACATTATTTTAGCCATTCGATAGCGCTGTATGTTAGAAATCCATCATATTAAACATTATTTTAGCTATTCAATAGCTCTGTACGTTCCAGTTCTATTTTATTAAAGGGACACTATAGCCATCTGAACAACTTTAGCTTAATGAAGCAGTTTTGGTGTAAAGAACATGCCCCTGCAGCCTCACTGCTCAATCCTCTGCCATTTAGGAGTTAAATCCCTTTGTTTAGGAACCCTAGTCACACCTCCCTGCATGTGACTTGCACAGCCTTCCATAAACACTTCCTGTAAAGAGAGCCCTATTTAGGCTTTCTTTATTGCAAGTTCTGTTTAATTAAGATTTTCTTATCCCCTGCTATGTTAATAGCTTGCTAGACCCTGCAAGAGCCTCCTGTATGTGATTAAAGTTCACTTTAGAGATTGAGATACAATTATTTAAGGTAAATTACATCTGTTTGAAAGTGAAACCAGTTTTTTTTTTCATGCAGGCTCTGTCAATCATAGCCAGGGGAGGTGTGGCTAGGGCTGCATAAACAAAAACAAAGTGATTTAACTCCTAAATGACAGTGAATTGAGCAGTGAAATTGCATGGGAATGATCTATACACTAAAACTGCTTTATTTAGCTAGAGTAATTTAGGTGACTATAGTGTTCCTTTAAAAATGTTTTTGCTATTCAATAGCGCTGTGCATTACAGATCCATCTTATTAAACATTATTTTAGCTATTCGATAGCGCTGTATGTTATAAATCCATCTTAGTAAACATTCTTTTAGCTACTTGATAGCGCTGTGTAATATATTTCCATCTTATTAAACATTATTTTAGCTATTCGATAGCGCTGTACGATATATATCCATCTTATTAAACATTATTTTAGTAATTCGATACTGCTGTATGTTTTAGATACATCTTATTAAACATTATTTTAGCTTTTTGGGAGCGCTTTATGTTATAAATCCATCTTATTAAACATTATGTTAGCTATTCGATAGTGCTGTACGTTATAGGTACATCTTATTAAACATTATTTTAGCTATTCAATAGCGCTGTACGTTCTGGTTCCATGTTATTAAACATTATTTTAGCTATTCGATAGCGCTGTACGTTCCAGTTCCATTTTATTAAACATTTTTTTAGCTATTCGATAGCGCTGTACGTTCTGGTTCCATGTTATTAAACATTATTTTAGCTATTCGATAGCACCGAATGTTCTGGTTCAATGTTACTAAATATTATTTTAGCTATTCAATAGCGCTGTAGTTCCAGTTCTATTTTATTAAACATTTTTTTAGCTGTTCAATAGCGCTGTGCATTATAGATCCATCTTATTAAACATTATTTTAGCTATTCAATAGCGCTATATGTTAGATATCCTTCTTATTAAACATTATGTTAGCTATTCGATAGCGCTGTATGTTAGAAATCCTTCTTATTAAACATTATTTTAGCTATTCGATAGCGCTGTACGTTTTAGATCCATCTTAGTAAACATTATTTTAGCTATTAGATAGCGCTGTATGTTATAGATATATCTTATTAAACATTATTTTCGCTTTTCGATAGTGCTGTATGTTAGAAATCCATCTTATTAAACATTATTTTAGCTATTCGATAGCGCTGTATGTTTTAGATCCATCTTATTAAACATTATTTTAGCTATTTGATAGCGCTGTATGTTAGAAATCCATCTTATTAAACATTATTTTCGCTTTTCGATAGTGCTGTATGCTAGAAATCCATCTTATTAAACATTATTTTAGCTATTCGATAGTGCTGTATGTTAGAAATCCATCTTATTAAACATTATTTTAGATATTCGGTAGCGCTGTACGTTCTGGTTCCATGTTATTAAACATTATTTTAGCTATTCGATAGTGCTGTATGTTAGAAATCCTTCTTATTAAACATTATTTTAGCTATTCGATAGCGCTGTATGTTGCAAACCCTTCTTATTAAACATTATTTTAGCTATTCAATAGCGCTATATGTTAGATATCCTTCTTATTAAACATTATGTTAGCTTTTCGATAGCGCTGTATGTTAGAAATCCTTCTTATTAAACATTATTTTAGCTATTCGATAGCGCTGTATGTTTTAGATCCATCTTAGTAAACATTATTTTAGCTATTTGATAGCGCTATATGTTAAAGATACATCTTATTAAACATTATTTTCGCTTTTCGATAGTGCTGTATGTTAGAAATCCATCTTATTAAACATGATTTTAGCTATTCGATAGCGCTGTATGTTAGAAATCCATCTTATTAAACATTATTTTAGATATTCGGTAGCGCTGTACGTTCTGGTTCCATGTTATTAAAAATTATTTTAGCTATTCGATAGTGCTGTATGTTAGAAATCCATCTTATTAAACATTATTTTAGATATTCGGTAGCGCTGTACGTTCTGGTTCCATGTTATTAAACATTATTTTAGCTATTCGATAGTGCTGTATTTTAGAAATCCTTCTTATTAAACATTATTTTAGCTATTCGATAGCGCTGTATGTTGCAAACCCTTCTTATTAAACATTATGCTAGCTATTCGATAGCGCTGTATGTTAGAAATCCTATTAATTAAATATTATTTTATCTATTTTTATGCTCTTTAGTACTACTGTATATTAAAAATGTATCTTATTAAAGTATTTTAATGCTGTTCAGAAGTGCTGAATATATTTTCAATAGGTGTGAATAATGTTTATTCAATTTTTTTAATTGTTACACAAGTATTCAATTAATGTTATTAAAATATGTTCTTGCAGTTTGCTATGAATTCTTTTAAAAATAAAATAATTTGTTCCAAAAGACTGTAATTTTAAATAAATCATATGAACATTTAATCTCATATTTTCTGTAGTGCTAAAAACTCATCTTTCATGTCGGTCAATAATGCTGCATCTGCATGAATAAAATAATTTGTTCCAAAAGACTGTAATTTTAAATCATATGAACATTTAATCTCATATTTTCTGTAGTGCTAAAAACTCATCTTTCATGTCGGTCAATAATGCTGCATCTGCATGCATCAAATCGACTCTACTAAAGTAGAAACATCACTTTTCTGGAGATTATGCCATTCAATAAAACATTGAAAATCACCTTTAATCTGTGTTAACCTTTATCCACATAATTTCATTTTTTTTCTCCTAAATGTATATTAAAGATTTAACAATTGTCATAACAATCCAGTTCAGTCCTGGCACAGCGAGGGCACACAATGCAATGGAGAAGTAGAAACATTGTTTCATTTCTTCTCTTCCCTGTAATCTTTCTCTATGCTGACTGCCAGGTGCAAAGTACAGAGTTTATGACAATGATTGACAGGGAGCTAAGACGGAGGCGCCCAGTTACAGGATGCGATATATACAGTAATGTGGGTTGTACATTTAATTTTACTTTCTAAGTCGGTTTAACACATGGTTGTTAAATAACTGGTAGAGGTAAACATATTAGTGACCCTCCTTTAAAGTCCCTTAAAGTATTTTCAAATATTTTTGTTACCTCTGTATATTTGGTTTACCGCAGGCATTCTGCTGTCACATTGAATTTGCTCTTACTCATTTAAGGTTTAATGACTCATTTCTACTAATGATGTAAAGAAATACATAAAACTGACTTTAGTGTTCTTTTTTTTTTGCAGACACTATGTATTTTATAGCAGACTTCACAAAATTAGGAATCATTCTGTGTGGAATGTCCTTCTTCACTGAGTGTGATGGGAAACCTGTAAAGTGAGTGCACTCTATTACGTGGCTGAGTGTCCCTTGATCATTTTCTGTCTCCTAATTCCTGTGCTGTTTTCCGCAGGAGACGGGCAGTCAGCGAGATGCAGCTGATGCATAATTTTGGAGATCTTAGACATGCTTTGCAAAGACAGGAATGGCTGCAACTTCAGCTCCACAACATGTACACTGCGTCAATGAGCACACCGCAGGAATCTACCCCCAAGGTGGCAGAAAACAGACAACAGAAGCCATTAAAAAAAGAGAACAGACCGAAACACTTCTCCCAGCAAAACCAACATATAAATCCAAAGAAGTCTCACCGACACAATGTAAAACTCAACGTAGACAAAGTTTTAAAGCCAGATATCCCGTGAACCTATCCTGAATTTCAAGAATTAACAATAACTGAATTTTTACAATAACTGAATTTTATCAGTGAATGGTTACGAATGCTCGCAAATAGAAGAAAGAAGACATCATGCTCCATATTGCCAATTTGCAGGCCCTAGTGCATGAGAATATAGTTACAGAAATACCGCACTAAATGGCTAATTAATCACAGGTTAACAAATTCAGAGATTCTCCCCTAAATGTTTCTTTGCAAAAAATTACATACCAGGCAGAAAATGTTTCCGAGCTAGTTATGCATTTAATAACCCAGAGTACAGCAAATGCTTGACGTTTGTGCTAAAATCACTTTTTGAACTTCAAGAATGGTTAACAAATGAGCTGCTAGCTGGAGGAATTTAAACAAAAATCTGCATAAAAATAACATGCCCAAACGTAAATAATTGGGGGCGGGGGAGAGGCGGAGCCAAGAAATAACTAGATATAGCAATGTAAAAACTCCACCTGTTTATTGCACAGCCAAAGTGTTTTAAAATTATCTGACTTTTTTTTTTTTTATCATCATAAGTCTTTATAACTATGCTAGAAGCATAGCGGTAAAGATATCAACTGTAGACACGAACAAGATGTTGCACTCTAGGGATTGTGGGATGCAAAGTGCGCCATTTGGGGGAGTGGCAGACATGCGTAGTCATTACAAGAGGAGAAAGCAATCTTTAGGTTATTATGAATTTAAATCAATAGGTTTGCTCGCGATAGATGAAATCTTTATACAACTGAAGGTGATCTTATCAACACTCTTTCTGAAGGTCAAGTCAGTAATAATACTTTTAAAGTATTTCACCAGTTTCTGTGCATGCACATAATGATAACCATTTTAATTGACCTCAGAAAGATAATAAACTCGAGACTCAGACATGTGACCACGGAGCTGGAGTCCTATGCACTGAGCTATCTCATCAGCTCACGTTATTGAAATGTGGTATTCCTGGCTATCCGACAATGATGGACAATGGTGGCACCCCAGAACTGCATTACCCAATATGTTTTCTAAAATGTAGATCATTAATGTCGTGATTGGTTTATTGGAATATTTTCAATCACTAAATGTAGGTGCAGTACTATTCACATCCTCTCAGTACAAGCTGCTGCTGTTTTCTACACAGTCCGTACAAGTGATCTCTTATTGCTTAAAGCAGCAAACAGCGCCCCCTCGGAAAGGAAAGGCAGTGAAGTGCACTACATACTATTATAATTATTAATGTTCGTGTGAAGCATCCTATAGCAGTTAACTGAGCTTTAATTGATAAACTGTGTAGATCATATTTTTGGGGAATTATTTTTCAGGAGCTTCAATCTCCAAGCCCCCCTGTCCCTATATGGCAGGGATCTCAAATTCTTGCCCTTCAACTGCCAGACTTCTCTGATTGCATAAGATGGACTAAGAACCATGGAAGTTGTAGCTCAGGGGCTTGAGTTTAAGATGTCTACTACGTAGTCTGAGAAGCACGGGGCCTGTTCTGACTCCTAGTGTTGCTGCTTTGTGCAGAATCTGTATTGCATGCGCAGAGAAGAGGATAGTAGGGGTAGCCTGATAAGTACGTAAAGGACAACTGTCACCTCAAACTTGTTTTTCAGTATAATAATCCTTTCATCATGTTTTGAAAGAAAAAAACACATTTTTTTTAATGAAGTATACGTAACAAAATGAGAAAAACTCATCCCTACCTTCAGTATATGACAGGATCCTTCACCCACAAACGTATGACGGACGTTTGGTTGGACAATGTTTGAAAACGGACAGTTAGTCTCTATGGTCTTCTCTGATTTACTCCCTGTACAGGTCAATTAAGACCACAGAGACTAACTGTCGGTTTTCAAACACTGTCCAACCACCCAAAGTGCGTGTATATGGCTGAACAATCCTCTCATATACTAGGGATGAGCTTCTCTCATTTTTTATTTTTAGGTATACCTTAATTAAAAAAATAAATTAATAAAAAATAAAATAAATATATATGTATATATATATTTCCTTTCTAAACTTGATAAAATGATTATTATATTGATAAACAGTTTTGAGGTGACAGTTGTCCTATAAGTAAT